GAAATCCCCCACTTCTGATCAAAATTTGACAGCTTAATGCTTTCTGGAAAAAGGTTAATGCAGAATTTTATTTCATAATTTTAATCTTCCTCCAGCTATGGCTTAAATAATAGTAGGACTTGTATTTGGAAACTCAAAAAAAATTGTCAACACAATATTCACTTGCAAAATATAATTCTTATAATCAAAAAGTTTCAGCTTTATATAACCCACAAAGATTTGATAAATCATTTAAAAAAAAAAAAAAAAGCAAACAAAAAAACCCCCACAAATTGTTTATAATTTTAATATTGCTTAACTTTTAAATAAAGACATGAGAGATGTGATTTTAGAAAAGAGCCTTTCTTCCCACTTGCTTTTTTTCTTCCTCCTTCTTACCTTGCACCCTGTATTTAATTCTTACTTTTTTGCTTCTTTTTTTCTCAAGTTTACCATTAAAACATTTATTTTATCTATTTTTGGATGATGTCTGATAAAAGGAAAAAAAAATGGTGGAGGGAGGGGCATCAATAAAATTTTTAATCTGTCAACTTTTTCAAGATGGATTTTTATTACTGAAGTCATGAAAGATTTCAAAAAAAAAACAAAAAACTATTGGAAAGAGCATCATAAATTTCTTTTTTAAATTTATGACATGAATTTAAATATTAAAAGATTGCTTAAATATATGTTTGGGACCACGATGACATTTGACCATTATTGGTGGTGGTGGGGGTGCGCAGACCTAGTCAGTAATAAAATTCTAAAATTTTTCCTTTTTCCTTTTTTTTTTTTTTTTTTTTCCTCTTTTTTCCTCATGCCCCCCACCCCTCCCCTCACCTTGTGAAGTAGTCTTTTATGAACAGAAATTTTACCTTTTCCCCAATCATTCAGCAGAGAATGCTTATGTGACATGTATAAAATAATTTTTGTTTTTTGACCATTTTTATCTCCATTAGAAGTTTTTTCCAATGCCATAAAAAATGACTATTTTAAATCTTTACTATCAATAGAACGTTTCTACGTTACCTTTTTAAATGTATTTTTCATGAACGCCTATTTGCATCTTTTTTTTTTTTTTTTTTTTTTTTTTTTTTTTTTTTTTTTTTTTTTTTTAAGATTTAAACCTGTTTTATTTTTGTCTGCCATTGTCATAAAGACACTAACACCTGGTGTTGCCAGTGTAAGAGAAATGTCTAATACAGCAAGTTAGACATGAGACCAAAACCACTTGGCATATTTATTTTATGGTGCTTACCCATGCTATTAAAATGATGACATATATAAAATTTACCTCCTTCCATTGTTGTTCAGTGTTGATATTTCATCAGTTTTGGTTGACCGTCCCAAGATCTTTATATTATCATTACAAAAGACTGTACCACCTAACGTTGCCATTGCAAGGGAGATAACTTGTAGAGCAAATTGACATTTAGAGTGAGAAGCAAAAAAAAAGAAACACTGTATCTGTGGTGCTAAATGTGTTCATGGATTTTTTTTATTTTATTTTTTTTTCCTTCAATAATTACCTCCCTTGCACACACACACACGCACACACACACTGCCAGAGTGTTCAAAATATTTTTAAAGCTGAGAGGTTAAAACAGACTTCTTTTTATTTTTTTTAAATGCGTATTTGGTAAGTATTATAAATACTACTTCTAGATAATACCATGAAGAAAGCATGCAGACCCTGGAGAAGCAGATGCAGAATGTAGGAGAGGCAGCAGTGCATGTCAGAGTGCAGATGTAATTGCTACGAGATGAGTTGAAGATGCTCAGAGGTGCGGTTTAGAATGATCTCAAAAGGCAATAGAGGAAGCTTGAAGGAAAAGACAGCAAGATTACATGAGAAGGGTCTACAGGGGGTACATCAGAATACAGACGTGGCTGCAGCAAGATAGGCTCACGATACTGAGTTACAGTCTTAGATGATCTTGAGAGATGCCTGAGGAAACTCTGTGGAGAAGATGTCTGGAATGAGAGAGACATACAAGAAGATTAGAGCTGGACCAATGAGGGGGAAAGAGAAAGAATTAGTGCAAGCAAGGCACAAGGCAGCAATGAAGAGAGCTTCACGAAGATCATAAAATGAAAGTCAAGGAAAAAAAAAAATCTTGCATCTTTTCGCAAGTTGATAATATGCCAAGTGGTGTTTCTTCTTTTTTTATAACTCTTTTGCTCTAATGGTTTCCTCCTTTTTGCTCTGGTAATGCGCTTATGTAGCAGTCTCTCTTTGTGATGACTAACTTCTCCAAAATATTTGAAAAGGTCAAAGGATGAGAATGACTAACTGAAAGAGCTAAGTACACAAGAATTGGAAAAATATATTTACAGAGTTGCATGTAAAAGTGGATGTGCAGGTGGTGTAATGGATAGTGGATTGGAATTAAAAATTGGAGAGCTGAGTTCAAACTCCCTTTGGGTCGATTACATTCATGTACACAAATAACCGAGAAAGGTATGAATCCATCTACCTCCATCTATGGATTAAATACTAGAACTTGTATCTGAAAAAAGTCTTGTTCTCAAAAAATTGTTAATGCAATATTCACTAACAAAAAATTAAAACAAAAATAAATCCAAAATGTTTTGGCTTTAAATAATCCACGAAGCCAGATAAGCTATAAAAAAAAAAGTTTCTAATAGCAAGGACATAAAATATAACAGGAGCCTGTTCAGGACCTATATGTGTGACTGTTTGGGAAAGCTTGGATGTGTGGGTGATGTAATGGATAATTTCTTGGAATTGCTAATTGGAGAGCAAAGTTCCAATTCCAGGTGTCATCTGTGTATCTGAACGACATTGTTGGTTTTAGTTGTAAGGTTCTTGTAATATCTTCAAGGTATTCTCTTTATAGGTTTGCTATTACTTGAGATAATTTGACCTTAGCCTGAGGTCAGAGCATTGTCTTTTCCTTTCTGCTATGGTCTAGATAAATAATTTCTTCTCTTATCCCCCCCCCCCCCAGATAGTAACACATTGATCTTGGGGGGGGGGACAAAAACATAAAACAATCTCTACTTTTTTTAAGTCAAAATGATGTAAACATTTGATAACTACTTTGATGACTGAATCAATTTATGGTAGAAGTTACCTCCATCTCCTATAAATAAAACCCTGCAGAATGTTAAAATTATTTATAGATTACCTCAGCCTTATTTAATAACCGTCTCATATATTTTCCCAATACAAAATACCATTTTAAATTAGGCTATTTGGGGATATAAAATCAATTTTAATTTTTATTAGGATAAAGTATCAATTGTCAGCCTGAAACTTTTTTTAAAAATTTTTTACTATTGCTTTATCAACATAAATGATATTGAATATTGTTTCTTTCCAAATTCTCTTTTTCTTTTTCTCAATCATATTTGCTAAATATTCAGCACATGTTTTTTTCTTTCAGAAACTGCTCTTTCCAATGGTTCAAAAAGTAATTTGATTTGATATTATAAAAAAATAAAACTGAATAAAATGTATTTTCAGTAATAAAATCCGTTTTAAAATCGTTTCCAATTTGGCCCATCTGCAGATGAGGTTTTGAACTGAAACCTGTTGCTAGGAGAAATGATACACCAGATTTTGAATTGATACATACATCTAATAGAATCAGCCATATATTTCTATATCAGATTAAGTTTCAAAAAAGTAATTAGTGTAAACATGTGAAAATTACAGGTGCAACCCCCCCTTTTTTTTTATCCATTTTAAAAAAAAAAAAAGAAAAAAAAGCATATTTTTAAGTTCTTCCTACTAAAAAGAAATTGCCAATTATCATTGTACTCACAAAGTACTCTTTTTTTTTTTCCTTTCCTTCCTCTCACATAGTGACATAGACTACCTATTGTATTAAAGACATTACCCATTGCTTTGGCAGTGCAAGTAATCTAACTATTGGAGCAAAAAGTTAATACAAAAACACAGTGTATTGTCTAGATTTAATTATTTACTTGATTGTGTAAATCATCCTCAGATGATACATAGAAAAAAATAATTAATCAAGCTCTAAGTGAAGCCAGCTTTTTGTGGATTAAGATCATGAAACTATTTAAAAATTAAAAGCTTATGTCAAGCATTTACTCAAATACAATAAAAAGTACTTGTTTAATTATATAATTACAAATCAAATGACTGATATTTTTTTTTTTATCACTTTACTGCCAATTTATTCTCTATAGAAAAATAAAAATCTAAAAGAACACATTTTCCTAATAAATTGCAACTTTTACACAACCAAATAATGACAGAAATGTCTTACATATAAGCTTTTTGGTGTGTCTCTCCTGGTGTCAAATATGTTGTTTGATGTATGTTTTCACCTGACATTAAATGACATTCAACACACTGAGAAACTCACTAGGAGGCTTAAGACATTCTTTGTTCATTTGATTCAATAAACTGTTAATAGTTGTACTAAGTGTTAATGCTAACAAGAATTTACTTGAATGTTGCTTCAGTATAGGGAGTATAATTAAATTTTGAACAATATATTTAAATTACCAAAATGGTTGAGCCTAGAATTCTCTATTTATGGTTTTTAAATTTTGATTTTTTTTTTTTCTTTTCTTTTCTTTTCTTTTTCTTTTCTTGTGGAGAGCAAGACAAAAATTTGCATGTGTCTGCCAAAAAAGGATAATTTGAGGTGCTATTTGCCAACTATGTTTATGAATCAATAGGTAAAAAAAAAAAAAATTCCTCATGATTGGAAACAATTCTTTGTAATTTTTACAGGTTGTCACATTATTTGGCAGTGGGCTTCTAATAATGTCTATGGGTATTGTCATTTTTCCCCATTTCATTAATTTTCTCTTTTTTTTTCTCCTTGTCTTAAAAATCTTAATGTAAAAACAAAAATTGAAAGGAGAAAACAAACTTCAATCCACTGAATTGGTTTACTTTTTTTTTGGGGATTTACCAGCCTATGCCTTGTCCCCTGCCCCTTTCGTCGTCTAGATTTTTGTGGACTGCACACAGCTACAAGCCATTGCTAATCCTGTTTTGTTTCGTTGGTGTGTAGCCCCCTTTGACCAGCCTCACCCTTTTCTATCCACAAGTGACCATTTCTCGTGGCCACACGTTAAGCCCGACCAACTCCCCAGGACGCCAGGCATTGACTCCTTCCTCAAATCACGTACGTAATGAACTTATTGTAAAGCTCTCATTATTTCCCTTATTTGCATGAAAGAAAACTCTTCACAGTTTGAAAACTCAAGAAGAAAAAAAAAACAAATTTTTTTTTTTTTTTTTTTTTTTTTGTTTGTTTGGTGAGGGTTGGGCAATTTTTTTATTTTTTTTTATTTTTTTTTCCTCCACCCCCTCATTTGTTTGGATTTATGTCTGTGACACTCCACCCCCAACCCCAAAGCCTCCATGTCTTTGACTTTGCAAATGTGCCCCTTTCTGCAACCTTTGACATCAGTGGTTTTTGGCTTTGGTTGTCCCATCTCCCACCCTTTGTTTTCTGTTTTTTATTTATTTTTTTTTATTTTTTTATTTAATCATTAAAGCATAATATGGTACTGTGTTATATTTTTTTATAAATATATTTGAATTGTTTTAATGTTTAATTGTTGCCACATTGCAAAAAGGTCTTTTAAAATTAAATTCACTGGTTACTAAATGGTGATAAATGGTGTGTAAGACAATTTATAATGAACTTTGTCTTGCAAGGAAATTTAATGAAAAAATTTTATTAAAAATAAATGTTTAATCCTCCCTCTCTTATTCTTACACACAGACTTAGGCATGGGAGTGGGGAGCAAGATTTTATTTTAGATAAACTATAGGCAGAAGTGATGATCTGTACATGATACTGTTATTATTTTGATGGGTAATATGCTAGTTTGTAACAGAATATTTACATCTTTTAATTTCTAGAATTTAATTGGAAATAGTGAATAATCATGACTCTCTTGTCAAGGTTAACAATGCATGTTATGACTTTAGTTACTTTTTAAGTAGTTAGGGAAACTAGGGAGAAGTGGATTCATACTTTTCTAAGGACATTACTGGGTCAATTTACCATTTTGTGTCCAGGTTTTATATATAAGACCAGTTGCTATCCAAGGCTATAGAACCCAGTCTGTCCTGCTATTTTACCCATAACTGGAGGGAGAAGAGGAGGATTCACACCTTTCCCAAGGGTAGTAGCATGTAAGTAAATGTAATGGATTCAACTGGAATTTGAACTCAATTCTCTGATTCCTCAACCTGCTATCTATTACTCCACCATGTCTCCTGGTTTAGAAGACCAACTCTGAATTCAAAACCTGTGGAGGGTTTTTTAGGAACCTTGTGGCACGTTGGGCACCAAGTCTCTATTCGGCCCTTCAAAAAGTGGATGGTTCTGCATAAAACCTTCACCACTATAATCAAATATCATATGCTGGGCTGTCAGTTCCTAGGAACTGAGCTGCTTGACCCTCATACGTCAAATTCGACGGGGTTTGGTGTATATATATATATATATTATGGATAGGAAAGTTTTTTATATAATATATATATATATATATATATAAATAAATCTTTCCTATCCATTAAATTTGAAATTCCTTCTCAGGAAATACAATAAATGTAAAAATGGCCTCAATTCTCTAGTTCAACCATTTCAAACCATTACAATGAGGATGGAAAGTGGGTGAAATTGGTAAGATGAGACTGTTCAAGTATTGTTGATGGTTTGAGCGTACTGGCCTTGTTCAAAGTGTTGATCAGGACCAGGTTATGTGATCCCTCCCAGAAACCTTAACTAAAGTTCACTCAGCATAGTTGCAGTATAAACCACAGTTGAGTGTTGAACAAACACATGTATGAGCCGGTGTCTGCAACTGGGATTAGTTTGCAGATGTCTGTGCTTAGAAATGAATAGCTACTTATTATACTGTTACTAGTACAAGCTTTCCTGTCAAAAAGGAAAAAAATACAATGACTAATGTTAATACCTCAAATCGATTCTGGTGTTGCATCAAGGCATTTATTATCTTAAATGTACTATATAAAAAAAAAATGAAAATATTTAATTTTACAGTCGGTTATATTTTCTGCATGCATAATCTTGGACTTTAATCTATATAATTTTTTCATATAGACAAAAACAATTTACTCACTACCATGATGCAACCTTGTTTTGGTGAATTTATTGCACCTCGACTGAGAACCAAAAAATACAGTCATCTCTCTTTCTGTATATAAAAAAGAATGCTGCTTTTCTAAATCTTCAAAGGAAAAATATTCAAATAAAGCTAACATGACTCTTACTATCAAAAAATAATGGTTGTATTGAGAATAAAAAAAAAAAAAAGTTTAAATTATTTATATCACTTTATTACCATATAAGAAAGAATTTATTTAAATTTTTTTTTTTTTTTTTTTTTTTTTTTTTTTGGTAATTTACAAATATATATATAAAACTTAATTCCAAGCAAAAATAAAAAGTTATGTACTAGTAACCTGGTTTTCTTTCTTAAAATGAGATTTCGTTAAGGTTTGCTTTTATGATGGAATGTCACGTTAAGATGATATCAGCAATATGTGACAAGTAAATATCGTTGAAATTGTTTTCTACTTTTACTATAAATTAATAAAGTAATTAGTATAATGAAAATTTCAGTAAAAATCAAATATTTAAATGTAATTTTTACTGTTACCTCTTGTGTGGTGTGAATTTGCCTGCTGAGTTGAGTAAAGTACTAAAAAAGCCTTGTATATTTGGTAACATTTAAACATTAGCAGAATTTTTTTTTTTTTTTTTTTTTAATTACCCTGGTGTCTTGTGAGTTCATTTCATTTGTTTCTGTATATATTTTTTTTTAATTTTTAATATTTTTTTTTACATTGTCAAAATTTGAAAGAATATATGGTGGGGTTAGAAAAAGAAACCCCACTCAAAGTATACCATTATATTATCTATTTATTTTGCGCTATTGAAAATATATATTTTTTAATTACATTTTTTTTTTTTTTTTGTGTTTCATTTTGAAATTGGTTCATGTTAAAAAAAAAAAAAAAAAAAAAATAAAGTGGCTTAAATCTTTTTATATATATATATATATATATATATATATATATAAAATCAGTTGAATGTCTTTGCTTTGTAAAAAAGTATGCTGTGGAAACTCCCTCATCTTTTAACATTTATTTACCCCCCCCCTCTCTCTCACCCTGCACTGTACTTTTTTTTTTTTTTTTTTCATTTTTTTTTTTCATTTTTTTTTTTTCATTTTTCTTGTTTATTTCATTTATTAAGACCTTTTTATTTTTTTATGAAAAAGGTTTCTGTTTCTTCATTGTGTGCATGTATATAACTTTATTTACTTGTCTACATAAGTATATAGATGGGCACACTGTTCAGCATTTTTTTTTTTTTTTTTTTGCTGTTATATCTCTGCATATGGGTGAGAAAAAAAAATTATGAAGCACTCTTGTCTTAAATTCATTGCTCTAATCAAAATTTTTTTTTTTTATCTATTTTTTTTTTTTTCTTTGCAACATAGATTTCTTTTTCTTCTCTCTCTTGATAGCAGTTTCTTCTCTTTTTCACAATCTCTCTCTCTCTCAAAATTCTTGATCACTGCTGGAAGACTTTTTTTTTCTCCTCTTTTTTAACTTCCCACTCAATGTTTTTTTTTTTTTTTCTGAGTTTAAAATATTTCAACCAATTCACTCTGATCATCTACAGGTAAGAAAAAACATGGGAAGAGACATTTAATGCATTTATTAATGCAAGATTGGTGATGTCCATTAAATGTAAAAGTAAAAACATGTTTGGAGGAGCTGTAATTCTTAATACGCCCTTAAAAAAAAATAAAATTCTAAGTAAATTAAAATCTTTCAGCCAATTGGATAAATTAATTGCATCTTGTGTTATCATCAACAGAGGAAGTCTTCATTGTGAATTTCCTCATTAAACAGCATATCTTAAAGAAGAGAGAGAATTTGGTTCTCATTGTCCACTCTGCTTCCCTTGCTTGCAGCAATACAAATCAGATTTGAAGGACATTTTTTTTTTTTTTTTTTTTTTTTTTTTTTTTGCATTAACCATTGGGAAGCCTGATGTATGGACATTCCCAGCCCACCCCCAACCAATCCACTGACTTCTGTTTTTGGTAGAGGGGTACAGTAACAAACTTCATTAATTAAGCAATTAATCAGGTACTAATTGCTCTCTTTTCTTCAGCAATGTATTATGATATAAGATTGATTTATTTTTTAATATGCCATGTCCCTTCAATATGTATGTGATCATGATTGTCCACAGATTCCTTCTTCATTATCTGTGAATTGACTTTCATTCTTGGGAAAGATAGTGATGTAATTTCCTTTTTTATATTGCTTGCCACCAAAAGTGATGTGTGAAAGTGAATGCAGCAGACTAACCCAGAATTTGAACTCTGCTCACTGATTTCAATTTCTGCACTGATATCACTTACACTGCCTGTATCTCCATGATGCAAAATAATTTTGCTAAAAACAAGTCAGATAAAAATAAAATATTGTGATTCTGCAATCATCATCATTATCATCATCATTATTATTGCTGCTCTATTTACCAATTTGCTTCATCTTTCAGTTTGGTGAACTAATTTCAGTGATTACCAACTATTTTAAGTTATCTCGTACGTCCACATCATGTTGAAGTACCGAGATGGGTGGTGGCTTGGGAATACCAGGTGCTGTGTCAATTCTGATCCACTATCCATTCCACTACCCACACGGATGTGTAGGTAGTGGGATGGATAGTGGATCAGAATTGATGCCCACGGGGAAAAGTATGGGTCTACCTCTTCTAACCCACCCCTCAATTGGTAAGAATTGTATTACTAAATTATGTTAAGGAAAAAAAAAAAAAAATTTACAATCTAAAAATATTTTCTGTCTTTGAATAACCTGCAGAAGGTTGATAAGCCATAAAAAAATGAATCAATCAATTGTAGTTGGCAGTTTATCTTGTACTTGGCATTTTCTGATACATTTTCATCTGTGGGGTGTCAATGAGTTTGTCTTCAGACTAAAGGTTTCACTGCAAATAATGTTAAGACTAGAGTTGAACTCATAAAGATTTTATTGCCCATGTTACCTACTATAAAGTTGACATTTGAAGTCAGATCTTATAACTGACTTCTGGCAGTTGCCATATTAAGCATTTTTTTATTTTTTTTCTTTAATTTTTAAAAATTTTTTTGTCTTTACTTTTATAATATCTGATTGTTACAGTTTGTATTTGACCAGGGGTAGTTTTAAAAATTTACCCAGAATGTTAACCCATTAGCTTTATCTAGAAAATTTCTAGCTGAGGTTTAGAATGTATAATGATTTTCCCCTAATCAAGGCACAAGAGAAAACAAACTCTTTGTAATAATTTGTTTTAAAAATGAGGAATTGGAACAGGGCAGGGGAGAACATCCTTAAAGATGATTGACGAGTATACTAAACTGTTGAAGGTGTAAATTCTTAACTGATTTGAAAGATGAGTGGAATAGCTTAAGAGGATTTCATTTCCAACGGTGATCAGTCAAATATTTTTTTTTTAAATTTTTTTTAAAGTAATTTTCAAATTAAGTTTAAAATATTAATTTTTTTCTTTTTCATTTTTTTTCCCTCAATATCAGATTATTACTTAGCAAACTGTGTGAAAAAAAAAAAAGAAAGATACAGGAAAATCCTGATTAGATGCTGACTATACTAATTATTTTATTTTACTTCAGTGTTTTGTTGCAACACAAAAATTAATGTAATAACTTTATATTTCAGATATGACATGAAAAAAATTTGACATTATCTTTGAGGTAATAGAAAGAATTTTTAAAAATCCAAGCCGTTCAATTTTAAAGTCTGGTCAGAATTTTAGAAAACCCAGCAAAAATAAAATGAATGTCTTCCATAAAAACCCTTTAGTTTTCCATTGTTCAGCAAAATCAAAAAAAGATAAATAACTCTGTATATTAACAATAATAATAGTTTTTAACATTGTAGAAAAACATTAAGATTATAGAAAACATTAAAAGAAAAGTGATCTAAATAATTCTAGAAAAAGATGATTCTAATCGTTCATGCCAATATGGTTAACTATTTTATTGGTTGTTTGTCTTCATCTATTTCTTTCTATAGATATCTACTTTGTTTAGGAGTTGACACACAACCAGGACTTTGTGAGGCTGAAATCTACTATCAATGGCTTTATGGGATCAATACTTCGTCTTGTATATCCCACCTCTTTGTGTTACTAGATAGCTTGATAGTTTCAATTAAGATTTACAGAATTTGTTTCCTTATGAAATTCATTTGTCTATATGTGGTCTTCAGAACTAAATAAGATTGTATTCTTGAATTAGAACTAACCTGACCTAATTTTATTCACTACAATGATCAAATAAATTCCAACATGATTGGATGTGATGTATAAACTTTAGGAAAACATTTTAGGTTGTTTAGTCCTTTTAGTAGTCACCATGCCTCAGCTCACGGTGTTTAACTCATCCCATATAGACTCTGTCACAATATGACATCATTGCAAACAGTGAGATTTTTGAGAGCAAATATTCTATTTAGAGTATTGAATGCTAAAGGATAAAATAAAAGAAAAGTGATAGATTTTTTTGTTTTACAGATGTATATGAATATTATATTTTTATGTTTGCGGGTGTTTTGTTGTTGTTGGGGGGAAAAATCCCAGCTATACTTGATAAACTTCAAATCTTAATTGTTTGTCGAAGGCAGTGAATCTTCAACTTGTGTATGACTCTTTCTTCACCTTTCCTGGATTTGATTGCATTCCCTCCTCTGCTCTCCTTTTTCAAATCTCTTGAATTTGATGCCTTTTTATGTTTTATATGAAAAACTTTAATCAACTCCCCCCCCTATCCCCAGAAAAACAGCAAGTGCTCCCCCCCCCCCATATTGTCTCTGCATGCAACTCTCCTCTAGGCTTCACTAACCATCTGTGAGCCTGCAAGAGCCTTCTGAATCTTTGTTGCCATAACATTGTTTATCAAGACAGTTTTACCCCTTATTCTATATTTGTGCCTTTTTAAATTCAATGTCTTGATCTTTATTATCTAGACATACTCTCATTTTTATGTTCATAGAATTGATTCATTGCCTCTTTGGCAAAGTTTAAGCTTCCAACCCCACAAAAAAACAAACAAAAAAAAAACAGTGTCAAAAGGACTTTCTTCTCTGTCCCTTTCCTCTTCTTCTCTGTCCCTTTCCTCTTCTTCTCTGTCCCTTTCCTCTTCTTCTCTGTCCCTTTCCTCTTCTTCTCTGTCCCTTTCCTCTTCTTCTCTGTCCCTTTCCTCTTCTTCTCTGTCCCTTTCCTCTTCTTCTCTGTCCCTTTCCTTCTCTGTCCCTTTCCTCTTCTTCTCTGTCCCTTCTCCTCTGTCCCTGTCCCCTTTCCTCTTCTTCTCTGTCCCTTTCCTCTTCTTCTCTGTCCCTTTCCTCTTCTTCTCTGTCCCTTTCCTCTTCTTCTCTGTCCCTTTCCTCTTCTTCTCTGTCCCTTTCCTCTTCTTCTCTGTCCCTTTCCTCTTCTTCTCTGTCCCTTTCCTCTTCTTCTCTGTCCTTTCCTCTTCTCTGTCCTTTCCTCTTCTTCTCTGTCCTTTCCTTTCTTCTCTGTCCCTTTCTCTTCTTCTCTGTCCCTCTTCTTCTCTGTCCCTTTCCTCTTCTCTGTCCCTTTCCTCTTCTTCTCTGTCCCTTTCCTCTTCTTCTCTGTCCCTTTCCTCTTCTTCTCTGTCCCTTTCCTCTTCTTCTCTGTCCCTTTCCTCCTCTTCTCTGTCCCTTTCCTCCTCTTCTCTGTCCCTTTCCTCCTCTTCTCCTCCAGCAAAGGTTGTCTCAAAAGCTATGTTTAGGATTTTAGTAACAACAAAAATGCTACACATTTATCTGCAAGATTAATTTTACATTTCTGAATTCTGTAAAATATCTGAACCATCTACAGGGTGTCCCTAAAGTCTGGACACAGGCAAAAATTCATATTTTAAAGAAATGAAATTTTCAACACCATTTTACTGAATTGGAATATTAACAAATAACATCTTCAATATGATTTGCAAGATTCACGTGAAGTCAATGTAATAACTCCACATTGTTTATGCGTTCAATTGGCTGTGTTGCATCTGACTTTCATTGAGTACATCTTCTCCTTTAGCATACCCTGAAAAGCAAGTCAGTTCCTCCTCCTTTAGACAAAACCATGTTTAATCTGTGGAGGTAAGAAAAGTTATTGAGATTTCCTGTGTGTTCAGATTTTGTGAACACTCTGCACAATGCCTTATTTATCAAATGAATAAGAGAGAATACATGCTCAAAATATTAAGTGTTTGTAGTCTTATCTAAAATTAAAAGAATGTTTGGTTCGGAGAAAGATGCTCTCAACCTATTTTAGTGCATTTGTAGGAAGGGCAAATAAAAGTAAGTTCTTTTTTTTTTCCTTCAAAATTTATAATTGTCATTTATTTAAATTTTCTTGTTCAGACAATGTTATAAATTTATGAATAAAAACTTTTCTCATCTTTTATTTCTTTATAAAATATTGTTGGTTTACATATTTTTATGATCTTGTAGATATCTAACAATGAAATAGTGTGGGTTAAAAAAAAAATTGTTTTAAAATTCTAAGTGTAATTTAAAACATTGTTGAGGGAGTCAAGGGAGTATACAGTAATAACGGTGTCAAGAAGAAAAACTGTCCTTTCTGACATGCTTTTTTTTTTTTTCCCTCCCCACAATTTTGAGGGTTAAACTTTGCCAATTCTTCATTGGAACAAAATTTTAGTCTGGATGTTATTTGGTTTAAAGATAATATTTTTTGACTTGTGCCATTTTTTTTTTCTTCTTTCTTTTCCTTTGTCACTTAGAACACCATTTTCATTTTGTCATACTCAAACATTTTTAACTTCTGGCTTTATTGACCATTTTATCCCAAATCTGTCTTCATCCACTACCAACATGATGCTTTACTCAGCAGCAGCAGCATCTTCCTTCCTTCCTGGAACCCTTGCTTTTCCATCATTGGTCTTACCCTCCCTTTCACTTCTATCTGTTGATAATATTGCAGGTGATAAAGGCTCTTCTTTGACCTTTTTAAAAGGTTAATAATAGAATAGAATTTATCTTATTTTATTTTATATTTTTAGTCAATTACAGTATTAGTTTATCTCCCTTAGACTATTGCCTATGAATAAATATAACCGATTTTGAGTTGCATACGACTATTTTATTTTGTCTCTCTTGTTTTCTGACCAACTGTGATTCCTGACAGCTAATTTCAGGTTTTGATATTTGGTAACAAGTAAAATTTTTATTCCTTAACTCTAGTATTTATTTTTTTTAAGGAAAAGTAAATTGGGTGAAATCTCTTATCAAATTATTTAAAAGAAAAAATGTAATTTATTTTCATCAATTCAAGGGTTAATTTGGGGAAAGTCAAGTGTTGACGCCTTCTAAATTGGTTAGCTCCAGGACTTGATTATTAACAAACAAGTCAATTTTCACAAGTTTATTCTATATTGCTATATGCTAAGCTTATTTTTGGCTCAAGGCGAGGCACTCAGTAAAGATCAAACTCATTACTCTGTTGTAATGTACCAGCTTGTTAACCATTACCCTTGGAGTTAATCTCTTGTTACATGTCTAGCACTCACCAGCTTAATTTTAAGTCAGTCAGTCTGAGTTTGATTCTCACTAGACCCCCCCCTGTATTTGTAATCTTGTGTGAGACTAAAGTGAGATTAGTAAATACTTTTTTTTCTTACTGCATTTTTAGGCCTTTATTGTCTTTATGATTTGTTTCAATGATGAAATTTCCTTCCGTTGTGATTAGGTCACAGGATCATGTATTTGAAAATGTTTATGAAATATTGAAATTTTGGCAGACTTTAAAAAAAAAAAATTTTTTTTCCATGATGAGGAAACTGTTAATGGTGTTAAGAAAAAATAATTCTCCTTTTTACCAATTAGCTTTGACAATTGAGATTAAATGATCAAAATTAAAGACATTTGGCCATATGAATTTCACACAGATTTCTTTGTTTTCATCTGATATGGAAAAAAAAATTTCCTTTTATTTCATAAAGTTATATACTTTGTGTAATATATATATATTAATGTAATTAAAAAAAAAAAACTGAAAGGAAACTTTTTTTTTGTTAATTTGTTTTATAAATATTTGGATAAAAATTGTGTTTGTGTCTGTGAGTCTGCTTGATTTTGTTTCCAAAAGATAAAAACATTGCTTTAAAAATTTCTGAAAACAAGAATGTTGTTTTGTAATTTTAAAATCACTTTTTCTTTTAACTGCAAATAGCAGATATAAAGTGAATAAAATCGAATGCTATTTTTTTTTTTTTTTTTTTTTTTTTTCTCCTGAGTAAAGCTATTAAATCAAAAAAGAAATTGAAACCACAAAGATAAATTAATTTTCACTAATGAGAAATTATATTTAAATTCCACAGGGAAAAAATAAGTTTGGCTTTATAATTTATTTTGCTTGAACAAGTGACATAAATATATAATACTGCTTGTTCCTCTGTTAGTAAGTTAGCACGTACATTATGTCCTGCCATTACCTTAGATAAATAATAGACTATTCTGTTTTGATTGCTAGGAAAGATGGGAGAAAAAGATATATCAGAGATGCTGTTTGGTTTTAGTGAAAAATGGAAAGCATACATAAGGGGATGATAGAGGAGGTGATAATGCTCTTGTGTGTTTAGCATCTGCTTCAAGGAAATGGGGAAACCTTGTCAATTTTTAATCTGTTCATTTGCACCCTCTTACTATTTCAAATCATGACCTGCATTCATATTTAGACTGTTATTGAAATATTTTCTTTAGTTGTTAAGCTCAAATTTTTAATGAGGAAATAGGGGAAATTCCATGGGTATTTGATAGTTGGACTCACAAGTAGCTTTATTTTAAATAATAATTTTAAAATTTGTGCTTTTAAAATTTTCACACAATTACTAGTACCTTTTTATTCTGGTTTAGTATCCATGTAAGTGTCGTTTGGTGACAATCTTTTTTTTTCTTCTCTTTCACCATTTTTTCTTTTCTTTTTGCCTCATTGATGATTTATTTATTTATTTATTTTTTTTTTAAGCACCTTTTTGAAAAAAAAACATGAGGTGGTACAAAGCAAAATCTATTATGTACACCTTTTTTTATTATTTTTATTGATTTTGTTGTTTTTTTTTTATTTTCCTTTTTTATTTTATATTTTTTAGAATTGAGGTAAATTAAGAGGACAAATATTAAATAACACTTATTAACAATATTTTCTCTCTCTTTTCTCTTACTGTATGCTTGGATGTGCAGATGGTGTAATGGATAATGGCTCATAATTGTTAATCAGAGCTGAGTTCCAATTCCCACTGGTTTATTTTCATTTACATACAAATGCTTGTGGGAGATATATGAATCCACCTCCCCCCCCCAGTTATGGGTAATTAGTAAAATTTGTATCTCCCATTATTATCCACCCACTAAGACTACTGGAATCCATCACTGAATTTTCTTTTCATGAATGTTGAAATAATGTAACTGATGCTTACATTTAGAATTTCCAAAAACTCAGCAGTCATTTTAGTTCCTTTGTGGGAAAGTAAGACATTTTGACAGTGTTTTTTATATATATATATATATATAATGATACTTTTTCATAAACAAGAGGAAGAGCTATTTATGCCCCCCATTTGAAATTAATAAGAAGGATATAGTTTGATTTTTTTTTTTTTTTTCGAACAAGAAAAATGGTTACATTACAAACTCAAATGCTTGTAAAATGATTTTACAGCAATGGGAGTTATCAGGATTAATATAATTTTTGTCTCTCACATTTTTGTTGGAGAAATAAACATGACTGCTCTTTTGTCTCCATACAATACCTGACTTTGCTTAAGAAAGAATTTCTAGCTACAATAACTGGAAATATCTGAAGAGGTGAGTGGAAGTCCCCACTGCTTTTGTCTTTGATTTAGTTATTTTCAGTTGACCAAATACCTTAAATTTGATTCCCAATGATAACTGTAGGAGGACATGGCAAAATTGCTATCTGCCAAATTTGCACAGTCTTGATGCTATAAATGGTTATAGCATGAAGACTGTGCAAATTTGGACTGGTAATGACAGAAAAACGTGCTTTGTTTTTGAAGTGGATTATACGGTGATATTTATATAGGTGTACATGTCTTCTTTAAAAGTGTTTTCTTGACAGTGAAAGAATTTTACACCAGAACAGTTTTTAAGCTAATCAAGAGTGAACAGTCTCTGATTAGCAGAAAGCAATTGGGGTGTTTGTGTGGTAGGGGATAAAAAAATGCTATAATTACAGTGATACTGACTCATGACATGGTTCTTCCCTGTTTGGTCTTTGTACTTGTGATAATATACAGCAAAAAAAAAAATCTCTGCTATATTTTTTTTTCTGAAGAATGTAAATGTCTGTGAGAGAGAGAGAGAATAAATCTTATTAAAAAGCTAAACATGACTCCCTCTCCAGGTGATAGAGAAAAACAGTCACAAAGAAAAGGATTGTACCAAACAGCCAGAAAAAAAAGACACTTCAAAAGATAAATCTTAATTGTCACCATAAAGAATGACCATTATATAACAATCAATATGTCATCAAATCACATACACATATATTAATGTCACTTGATCACTGTTTAGAAAAATATACAAAAAAAATTTTAAAGAATAAATTGTTTATTTTAAATTAAATATTTATCTAAAAGTTGTATAAATCTATGCATGTTTGTGTCTGCGTGTGCAGTATTAAATTTAAGTTAGTATTATTTTATTTTATTTTTTTTTGTTTAGTTGGTCATCGGTTCTTTGGTTAGTGCTCTCTCTCTCTCTCTTTTTTTCTCTCTCTGTCTATTAAGCCAGATATAACAGTAAATGGTATTGATATGTTTAATATTACAGCTGCTGAGAGTGGTAGACATGCAGGCCAGGAATAAAGGTGGGTTTAATTATTTGAGTCCAATAAAAAAAAAATAAAAAAAAAAATACTACTATTACTACTACTACTACTACTTACTATTATTATTTATCATCATCATTATTATTATTTCGTTTGTTTTTCTTCTTATTACTTTGATGATACTGCTACTACCACTTCTGCTCTGTCACCAAATATGGAATTTTATCATTTTTCATTGTAAACCTTTTGAATCATTGTCAAAAAAAATTTTACCATTAAATTTTTTTTTTTTTTTATTCATATTTAAAAAATTTATTTTTTTTTAGGTTTTTACCAGTTACTGTACTGATGTTAATTTTTCAACTGTTACTTTTATTTTGAAACCTTGAAGATATATTTAAAAAAAAAAAAAAAAAATTTTTCATTTTACTTTTGGTTTTCTATATACATAAATACATTTATTTACATTGTTGACATTTGGAAGAATGTTCATGAAATTTTTTCAAAGAAACCACCAACTGTGCATTTTGCTTGTTTTGGCTACATCAGATCGAAAATGAAAAAGTGTTGCATGCGTGTTTTAAAATAACAAAATCTTATATTTTTAAATTTTGGTGTTCTTGGTTAAAAAAAAAAGAAAATGAGTTGTTTCAAAAAAAAACTCATTTGGGGAAAAATAGAATATTTAATAGTCTTTGATATTGAAGAATCCAAATCAATTTAAATAATATAGACGGATTTTTTTTTTGAAATTTATTTTTAAAATTTTTTTTTTTTTTTCCAAATGTCAATAATTTATAACTCTGTCGGGATTATATACCCAAATTTATAAAATTTATTTATGATTAAATAAAGAAGAAATAGGAAAATGTTCATAAATTGAACATATCTTGCTATTTAGTTTCAGTAGACATTTCTTGAATAAAGTAAAAATCATTTTTCAATTTTTTTTTTTTTTTTTTTTTTTTTTTTTTCTTAATTTTTCTTTGTCTTTTAATTAGGTACCTCCATGAAATCGCAACCTGAAAAAAAAAAAAGCATAGCTTGATGAAAAAGACGCCAAACTTTTGCCGAAAACAAAATTTTATCGTCTAAATGCTTTGTTATTATTAAGAGGAAAGACCAAAGTTTTT